CCTGTGCCCCCGAGCCAGGGTGCCGCTGGAGCCCCGGCCCAGCTGGGCTGTGGGGCAGGGCGGCCAGTGCTGGGCGCAGGCAGCGCCCGGCCAAGGGGCAGAGCCCCAGCCAACCATTCCCTCTGTGCCCTGCTGCTCTCTGCAGCTGGAAAAGGACAAGAGCCAAGTGGCCGAATATGTGCACCAGGCGCTTCCATACCTGGAGAGCCCACAGGAGCCCATGCAAGAGGCAGCCATCAAGTTCATAGGTGAGCCACAAGGTCACCAGGGCTGTGCTGGGGAGCCCCGAGTGCCCTGGCACTGCTGCCGCCCTGTGCTAGCCCAGCCCTGGGCCATCCCCAGGCAGGAAGGGCCCGGGCTCAGCCCTGCCGGGGCAGGAGGGCGTGTGGCCGGGCTGGCAGTGCCACTGGGGGGGAGCTGTGACACCGCTGGGGCCCTGACAGCATCTGTGTTCCCAGGGATGGCCGGGAGATACCTGAAAGGGCAGAAGAAAGAGTTGCAGCTCGTCGTGGACGGTGAATGAGGGCAGTGGGATATCTGGGGGCTGGTGGAGGAGCACAGACCCTGGGCAGGGAGCTACAGTCCTGCCCTGGCTGTGGAGGGCTCTCCTACTTGCATGGATGAGGAATGGTTTGGGCAGAGCAGAGGGAGATTTCAGGGGCATGAGGGGTATTGGTGGCCAGCACCTTCTGGCTGATCCCCATGGGCCCTGCTCCTCCTGGCAATAGCAAGAGCTGGCTGGGATGGCCCTGGCAGGAGGGGCTTCTTGGGTCCCCACAGATGCAGGTTCTGGCCTCAGCTCTGTTCTTTTCTGTTCCAGCCCTTCAAGGCATGATTCATGACAGCACTGCCATCAAACGTCTGGCACTCAAAAACCTGAAAATGCTACGCTCTGCAGAGAGACCTCGTTCTTCTCCACGTTCCAGCAGCTTGAAGACCCGCTCCAGAGTGAAAGGATTAGGGAGGCTCCTCGGTGGAGCAGCTGCCGGAGGTCTGCAGAGAACTGATCCTGGGAACCCCATCTGATCAAATACCTCATCCTGTTGAAAAGACCCCTCTCCTCCTGTTACTCCAACACGGCAATATTAAATCCCTCTTAGCATGCACAGAGGCTCAGGAGTTTTCTTTGGTGCCCGGTATCCACAGTGCACTGGGGTAGAGGGGAAGAAGGGCCCTTGTGCTCAGCAACACTTGCCCAGGTGTGCCATGGGGAGGATAAAGTGCCCCAAAGGCCTTGAGGGGAATGCATGAGGGGCTGCAAGGCCACCCTGTGTATCCAGTGCTGACTCCAGTTTGTGAAAGTGTGGTTGCCTCTGTGAGGATCCCTGAGAAACTCGTCCTCAGAGATGGCCACAAACACTCTCCCAGCTGTCTGTGTCCTGCTCGTGCGTTGGAAGATCAGCAGAGGGCAGGGCAATCCCACCAAAGCATGACTGAGGACGATTCCCAGGAGCTAGGTATCCCACCAGAGTGCCATAGATAGCAGATGATGATGAAGAGGAGGCCAGGGTGCCCAGCCAACCTCCTCCCCAGGGAGGGTGCAGCCAGCCAGCTGGAGCCCTGCTAGAAATAAACAGGACGCCAGTGGAATCGCTCTCAGAGATGCCAGAGTTCCTACTCTTGGCATCCGCCAGAAGACAGGGAGTAAGCTTTCTACCAGATCAGTATGAGATCGTATAGGAAGCAGCTCCTGAGATAATCTGCCTGTTACACAGGTGCAAGGTCCACCTGGAGACAGAGGCATCAATAAACACACCCTCTCAGAGCCCAGGCCAGGCGCTTAGGACTGAGCTGGAGGGAGCACAAGGCCCAGGACTGAAGGATGGGTGGGTGGAGGTCCCAGGTGATGCCAGAAAGACCCCTGAGCGTCCTCAGGGCCCTGACACTTGGGGCATCTCAAGGTTTGAGCATGAGTGGAGCAACCAGGGCCTCAAGGGTACAGCTCATTTTGGGGCTGCTCCTTCAAATGGGGCTCAGCGAGTTGCAATAATGGTGGTGCCCATCCCCACATGTAGTTGTGGCCAACTTGCTGTAACCTGTTTCTGTGCAGAGAGGAGTTTGTGGGGGGTTTTGGGGGGCAATCTGCTGGTTCAGGGAAGGAGGAAGAGCCAAGTACTGTATTTTTGTAGGGAGGTTCCCTCAGAGACCAGAGTAGCTCCAACACTTGGTATCTTTGTGAAATCTATGGGGCACCTGGGTCACTGAGCTTTGGAATGGGTCACTGGGTGACCAGGGCTGACTTGCTTATTTTCTCTCCTGGGTGCTTGGCTTTCAGGGGTCCTTGGCACTTGGAATGTGATTGCACAGAGGGGTCTCATCCCCCAGAGATGCTCTTTCCCCTTCCCAGCAGATGGGCAGGAGAACAAAACCCCAACTTTCCTACCACGAGTCGTAGCCAGAGAAATGCAGCGGATGAGTGTCCAGCTGTGCTGCCGAGGCCATGTGCCAAAAAGCCAATTTCAGGGGCTGGGGGCCAGGCAGGGGCAGGGGGGCTGCACCTTCTCCAAGGGCCCTGGAGAGGCTGAGGAACAGGGGGTGGGGGGTGGAAGGCAGGGAAGTCTTGAACCCACAGCACAGTCCAGATCAGCAACCTTCTTTCTGCAGCCAGCGGCCATGCTAGTAAAGAGCAGGAAGTTTGGAGAAGCCATTTGAGATTAAACAATAAATAAATCATGAGAGGCAGTAATCCCAGCGGCTGCCTGGGCAGTCCCCAGCCCCCGTGGAGCCTCTCCATGTGGGGAGTGGAGAGGTGCCCTCTCCCCACCAGGCACCTCAAGGGGACAACACAGAACTACAAACCTGCACCTGTGTCTTCTACCTGCTGAATCTGGACAGAGCTCTGACACAGAAGGTTCTCTCTGGGGCAGGCAATCCAGGCGTGGGAGGGGAGCAGAGAGGACCCCTTCGTGTCCCCACCTCCAGCAGACAGCGGGGGCAGAAGTAGAAGAGGACAGAAAGCCTTCAGGGGCCAAGTTTTCACCTTGTTTCGCTGCTGGGGGCTGCGGGGAGGTGGGAATTTGGCAGCTCTCCCTCTCTGGAAAGGGTCCAACTGCCCCAGGAGAAATTCCTTGCATAGCTTTGCTGTGAAGAAAGTGCTGACCTGTTCCCTGTTTCGGGGGTGTTTGCTGAGCAAGTGAAGAAGATCCAAAGGCAGCTTGTAAATGCTGGGAGAAAATGGCCCGTTTCCTCGTCACGGGGGTTAGGGAGCAGATCAGGCTCTTTGGGGGGAGCAGTGCCTGGTGACAGTGACTTTGTGAGCCATATAGCAAGTCCACGAGGACGTCCTGATGTTCCGCTGGCTCACACATCTCCGGAGGGATGATCCAGCTACAGCAGAGAAGCTGATGGTGCCACCCCACGTTGTAGGTGAGCATCAGAGGGTGACCTGGAAGCTGTGTCCAGACTGCCTGGCCAGAAACAGGCAGCAGGGGGAGAGAGCACCTGCTCTGGGACTGAGCAGGTGGGAAACAGGTCGTGTTCACTTCTGAAAACGCCAGCAGGAAAACAAACAGCGCAATAAATATGGAAGGCAAATCTGACCTCCTGCGGTGCCAGGAGAGCAGCCAGTGCGTGACTAAAACAGCAGTGATTTAGATTAGATGTAAGGAAGCATTTTTTTATGATGAGGTGGTAGAACACTGCCACAAGTGAGGCGGTGGATGCTCCATCCCTGGAAACGTTCAAGGTCGGGATGGACGGAGCTCTGAGCAACCAGGTCAGGTGGAAGGTGTCTCTCCCCATGCAAGGGATTTGGAACGAGATGATGTTTAAAGGTCCCTTCCAACCCAAACTATTCTGGGATTCTGTGATTCTCTGCCAGGGCAATAGAGCAAGGGCAAACCTAGATGTGCTCCCACAGCAATGGGAATTTATTCCTATTAGGAATATTAGGGGAGGCTACAATAAGGGAACACTTCAACTATCTATTTGCAGTCTGAATTGAAGTGTCAGGGGATAAGATATAAGGATAAAACTTTTGAGTGCAGTATATGGTGCCATTCCCCCAGAAACAGTCTGAGAACCACCAGATGATTTTTCTGAATCTGCTTTAAAAATGAAGAAGTGGTCAAAAAAAGCAAAAAACCAGCTCGATCCCATGGAAAAAAAAAATAAAAGCTGTATTTAAAACAAAGAGCCAACAGGGCAATCCCATAAAGCCCCCACATAGCTGTTGGGAAAGAAGGGGGAGCACAGGGCAAAAGGTGGATGCTGGAGAGCAGAAGGTCTCCCAAATGAAGAGGAAAGCTGAAAAAAAAAATGCATCATGATGGATATAAACTGGGAAGCAGGAGGACTAGGAGCAAGCTGGAGGCTTGTCCTGCCAGACATGCTCAAACCAGTGCTTTGAGCTCAGCCAGTCCACTGCAGGGACTGGGAAGTGGGAAGGGTGCACAGGGATGGGATGAGATGGGCACAGTGACAGGTCCTTGCCCTGGGGGCATTCCCACCCCCACCCATCCCTACTCACTTTTTCCCCCCAGACAGGTGGGAAAGGCTCTTAAATTGGAATAGAAATCCTGGTGGGATTATCCTGGAGAGACAAGCTAAATGTTTTGGATAGCTCGGAAGTGTCCAGCACTCGGATGGGGACACTGACTGTCAG